ACTTCAGACTGTTTAAGAACCTTCCGCAGTATAACTATCATAGAAGCTGAACTTGGTAATTGCAATCCGGCTTAACTGCAGTCTAGGGGGAACCATATCCGGGTGACCTCTCTCGACTTGAAAACAACCGTTTAACTTGCTTTGATTGTTTGAACCTGCACTTAAGTTTTTCTGCTAGATAACAAGAATTCACTGAGTAGCCATCACATCTAGGACCCGGGTTGACATTAAAACCCAAACCCGCTATACTACGATTTAGGAAGTGGTTTCACTTGGCCAATTTCTAGAGTGACAGTAGGAGTGAGTCAACCACCCCGAGGTCACTCCGGCCACCTTCGGGATCCATAATATGGGGTCACTACGGGCATCTCCGGCCATCCCCTGAGTCCTTAACCTCGGGTCAACTTGGCCACCCTAGGTCACCTCAACCACCATATGGTCATCATTGCTACACTGGAGTCACTCTGGCCACCCTCGATGTCAATCACCTCGTGTCACCTTGGCCACCCTGGGACAACTCCAGACCCTCATGGTCCATGACTCCGGGTCACCTTGGCTACCAGCTCACCACAGGTTCACTCCAACCACTCCAGGGTCCATCACCATGTTTCACCTTGGCCACTCTGTGGTCACTCCGGCCACCCCGGGGAAAATCACCCCAGGGCACTCGGTCACACTAGGGTCACTCTGGGGGTTAGTCACCCCAGTTCACCCAGCACAATTGGCCACGTACTCTCATGAAATGTCTTCTTCACCCCTAGCTCCTAGAGGAAGACACATACCCCCTTCATAATTACCTGGTGACCGTTATAAAATGCCACATTGTTTCTTTGTTAAGGTAATAAGAAAATTCTCATGTTTAGACTTGAAACACCCGCTATAATTAGCGAAGATACTCACCTTCAACTCCCTTCGCTCATGTTTCTTTTCGATGTCATATTCCTCTTTGACAAAATCATACTCTAATTTGAGCGTTAGAGAGTATCACCGCCGAGATCGACTGACGAACCCTTTTTGCAAGAGACAACCAGAACTTCCATCACGAGAGTAGTTGGAGGTTAAAGGTGATCGTCGACCGACTCCGATGCACATTACAGAAAAACTCGATGTTGATTACAACTCCGACATCGACAATACCTTTATTAAAAGTGTTACTAGTGTGCTAACACCAAGGAATGGTAGCATCATATCTCCTCCTTGCCCTTTCTTGACACGTATGAAGTAGAAATTTCGTGAACTATAACATAATTTAATATGTTTTTTGCTTAAATTGGATTCATCATCTCACAAATGAAATGGATTCATCAATCACTCGAATTACTTTTTTTTATACTAGAATCTGCATTCATTTCATTAATTTCTGTTATCCATTACAGATGGCTCAGCCCGGCCTAGATCGGCCTCCAACATACACAAGATAGAGAACAGAGGGTTATCCACCCAAACAAAAGGTTGATACCACATACCGACCGAATGGGCCAGCCAATGAGCAGTGTTATTGTTCTTGCGGGGAACGAAGCTTCATTTCACCGGAATCCCAGATATGCTCTCATTCACCTCCGCCAAGCTCCAGATTTCCTCACACCAAAACCCCACCTCCGTCGTATCCCCATCCTTACTCAATTTCCGAATCAGAACCTGGCAATCCGACTCCACTATGAGAGGATTGAGCTCCCTTATATTAGCTTCTCTTAACCCCATCACTATTGCTTTCGTTCAGCCTCAACTGGCCTACACACTCCCTTCTCCTTCATTGCACAAGCCCCTTTGAAAGCCCCCCTCCAATCACGAATGATACACCTCAACCCAATTCCAGTTGGCTTCAAGATACCTGCATCAGAGTTTAATTTGAACTCTCCCTCAGGCGGCGGCCACCAACCATCAACTGGTGGATCCCTGATGCATGTCGAGGAAGTCAACTCCACAGCGCTGTGAGCATCAAGGAAGGAGCGAAGCTAGGTCAAAGCCCTGGGTATGATCTCGTCCTCAGCCAGTTTGATGTTATTGTTAAGCTGATTGCATCGTTCCTTCCACAGGTACCACATAATCACACAGAACCGTTGAATTTTTCCTTCATCGAACTGTTTCCCCACTGATTTGAACCACTCAGTGCAAGATTTCCCTTCTCCAATATCATACATATCTTTCTCTTCCCATGTCTTCCACCTACTCCTTATCCAACTGCATTCTCGCAAAGCGTGGAGTTGATCCTCCGGGAGGCCGCAAAAAGGGCAGTCTGCATCATCGATCCACTCCTCCATGTGGCAAACCACAGGTAAGATATTTCTCCCAGCTTTCCAAAGAAAAATCCACACGTTCGGCGGAACATGTAGTTTCCATAGTTGTTTCCAGAATTCCGAGTCCTCAGACGAGGGGAAATAGTCTCTAGCCAGCTGATCTTGATATTGTTCCCTCATCCTGCAATAGGTAGTTTTAACAGAATAGACACCATTATCAGTACCCAACCAAATTCGTCTGTCCCTTGTTAGAGGGAATCGGATTGGGATTCTGGATATAAGATCACAGTCACTACTAGAGAACCTCTCCTGAAGTTTATCCATGTCCCATCCACCCCTGTCTTAATTGATCAGAGAGCAAACCATTTCGTTTTGGTCCATAGGAAAAGGATGTGGATCAGCATGATAGAAAATCTTTCGAGGGATCCACGCGTCCTCCCAAACCCGGATTGATTTTCCATCCCCCACTCTCCATCTGAATCCCTCTTTCACCTTGTTTTTTTGCAGCTATTATACTCTTCCAGATAAAACTAGGTCTATAACCCTCTTTGGCATTAAGGATGTCTGTTTTCGGGAAGTATCTGGCTTTCAGGGTCCTAGCCATCAAAGAATCCGGATTATCCATAATTCTCCAAACCTACTTACCAACCATAGCGTAGTTGAAAGCACGTAGGTGTCCAAACCCCATTCCCCCAACTTCTTTATCATCACATAGCTCCTCCCGTTTTATCCAATGAATTTTTGTTTATTTTCCTTTTTGTCCCCACCAGAAGTTGGATATCATCCGCTGAATTTCTTTAAGAGTGCCTTCTGGAATCAAGAACACCGACATAGGATAGAGACATTGGGCTTGAGCCACAACTTTTATCAATACTTCTTTGTCTGCCTGAGAAAGAGTTCTGCCCTTCCAATCCTTCAACTTTTTCCGAACCCTCTCTTTAATCTCTTCAAACAACACTTTCTTAGATCTGCCCACCAACTTAGGGAGATCTAAGTACTTAGGATGCTTTTCCACCTCCTTGATCCCCAACATCCCACAAATCTCCAGTCTCCTGCTCACTCGCACATTTCTACTGACCGAAATATCAGATTTGCTAAAGTTGATCAACTGGCCAGATTCTTTAGGATAGGTACTCAAGATCCTTTTTAGCATGCTTTTCCACATCCTTGATCCCCAACATCCCACAAATCTCCAGTCTCCTGCTCACTCGCACATTTCTACTGAATGAAATATCAGATTTGCTAAAGTTGATCAACTGGCCAGATTCTTTAGGATAGGTACTCAAGATCCTTTTTAGCTGGTCACAATCACCAAGAGTAGATCTTCCAAAAACCACACTATCGTCTGCAAATAGAAGATGGGAGATCATAGGTGCTTTTCTTCTAATCTGAATGCCCTTCAGCTTGTTGTCCTTCTTTGCCTTTTAATGACAGCCGAAAAACCCTCAATCACTCGAAATAATATTGAAAATTATAGTTGTGTTAGACCTTGTTTCTGCTTCCCTCCGTCCATAAACAGAAGACTTAGATCTCAAAAACAAATTTTGGTAACAAGTCACAGAACAATTTGGGCTACTTTCCCTCACCATGAGTCCATGACTTAGATCTCTCCATTTCCCTTAAAAATCAATATCAGGGGTGAAAAATTAATCGCACCCCTCATAAATACATCCAATATTCCAACCAAGAAGTTTAAGTTTTGACCAAAACAATATACGTCTGGAAGTACATCAATCTCCTTATAAACAGCATGGAGACAATAAAATCTATCTATTGGTACAAATTACATTTATTTTGAAATACATCCAAAGAAACAACCTCAAGGAATGGTCTTGAAAAATTTGGTCACCAAGACCAACTCAGCATGCAGCCCGCTCCTCAGTGCTCACTCCATCCCCTCCCTGCAAAATCACAAAAACAAACAACCAAGCATGAAGAACCCATTATAGAGATGCAAGCATAGAAGCAACAGAGCCAAACCCAGAGACGAACACAAGAGAAAATAAAGACCAGGCACAAGATCAAACCAAACTAATAATACAGGGGAGCACCCCCCAACATGACACAAAACTTAATGTTGAACCACTGAAGTAATCCTCATTAAGCCAAGCATTTATAGGCGCCATTAGAAAATAGATAAATGGGGGAATGAAGCTGCGGTTTTACGTTTGCGTTCAAGAGGGTGTGCGGCGACTCCCAGAATATGCCTCGCTCCCCCACGTGATAGCTTCCGCCAGAAGCCACTTTTGATGGAGCCTGGGAAGGATGGTGAACAGAGTCAGAATCCATTAGTCCAAGAATTATTAAACAACACACATTAAACTCTACAAAACTTTACCTGGAGGATAAGGAAGCTCTGCCGAATATTCACACAGAGGCGCCCGCTTCAGTTCTTTCTGTTTGCCAATAGCTGCCATATCAGCTTCAACATCTTCCAAATCACCTTCTAGTACGTCCAATTCCTTGTTGAGAGAAATACATTTATTGGGGTTTCTCTTATTAATTATCAATAGGATAATTATTATTATGGTTAGTAGATATTTAGTCCAATTAGGTTATTCGTTAGGGTTTTCCAGTATTTCCTATATATATGGACTTTGGGTTTACGTCATAATCAGTCAAAAATAATATTACAGAAAGTATCTCTCAAACCCTAATCTCTAATCCTTCTTAAATCTTGTCCCTCTCTTCCCTAAAGGCCGTCGGCCATTCTTCTATCTCAACCCCAATTCTGTTCTTCAATCCCTAATCCGCAATTCTCATCTAAATCCCTAATTGTTACAATAATTACGGGTGCCGAAGATCAGTTCCTAGAATCCTTAACAAGAGGGTTCTTTCAGTGGTATCAGAGCCTGGTTGCAGGCACTCGTACCGGAACCATGTCAAGATTCGAAGAGCTCTCGATCAGCGAACTCACAAAGATGTTGAAGTCCAAGCTCGAAGCAGAGTGGAAGAACGAGGTTACCTCGTCCTTGCCGTTGTCCGGGAACATTGCGCGGGATGCTCTACCCAAAGCCACAGCCGCCGCGTCGAAGAAGCCGATGAAGAAAGACCCACAACCATTATCGAAGGCCGCACCTGCAGAATTGGATTTCAAGGATTGGTTGGAACAACCTGCGTTTCCAATCGAGCTTGAGCGATGGGGAACCACCACCGCGGTGAAGGCCGAGAAAGCTGCTGCGACAGCAGTTGCTTTGCCTGAGACACCACCACCATCGTTGGTCGTTTCCCCACCAGTCAAGGACGAAGGCTATGCAATACTAGCATCATCATCATCGCCGTTGACCCCGCTGTTAACCCAGGATTTCGACGCACCAGCCAAGACCGACATCGTTGCGGCAACGTTTGTCATGTTGAACGAGGAAAGAAGGAACAGGGCGGCGGGAGGGAAATTCCCTAGGAAGGAACGGCGCCGGATCTTTGCAAAGAGCGCCCTTTCCTGGAAATTCCGAAAGAAAATGCAAAGGCCGAGAGATGGCCTTGATAGTCGCCGTCGGGAAGACTCGCCGGGGTCGAGGATATCGCCAGGAGCGTTGCGATCGGCAGTGACTCTCTTCACGGTGGCGACGGCTAAGAAGATGGAGCAGGCTTCGGCTGTCATGGGTCCGGAATCTCCTCGATGTCGTCGGGGAAATGACGAGTTGATGAGGAATGGGATGAGGAAGGTGTCGCCTGCGAAGGATTTGAAGAAGAGGAAGCATGACGGCGGATTCCTCTACTCGCTGAGGAAGGAGAAGAAGGAGGGAAGAGCTTCAAATTGGCTTGAGCAATAATTCTTTCTTCCGAATTCATGTGGGCCGAACCAAAAGTGAAGAAAGAGAGGAATGGGGAAAGCTTGATTTTATCTTCACCACCAAACCCATTGCGAAATTGAGGGAGCGGTTCCTTGAAGCTTTCGAGGCAGTTTATGAGAATGGGCTCAAGGAAGAACCATTTCCCGATTCTTATTTCGTGGATTTTGAAAAGGAAGAAGAAGAATTGTTCGTTTATGGGAAATGTGACGTGTATCACGAAATTCAAGAAGAGTGGAAGAACGTTGGAGTTGAAGAATTCATTCGTGAGTTGGAACGCAATTGGAAACGAAGAAAGCGGAAGGTTAAGGAGGTAGAAGTCAACTATAACCTTGAGGTCAAGGTTGTTCTCAAGGGGGATGGATTGAGAGAAATACATTTATTGGGGTTTCTCTTATTAATTATCAATAGGATAATTATTATTATGGTTAGTAGAGATTTAGTCCAATTAGATTATTCGTTAGGGTTTTTCAGTATTTCCTATATATATGTACTTTGGGTTTACGTCATAATCAGTCAAGAATAATATTACAGAAAGTATCTCTCAAACCCTAATCTCTAATCCTTCTCAAATCTTGTCCCTCTCTTCCCTAAAGGCCGTCGGCCATTCTTCTATCTCAACCCCAATTCTGTTCTTCAATCCCTAATCCCCAATTCTCATCTAAATCCCTAATTGTTACAATAATTACGGGTGCCGAAAATCAGTTCCTAGAATCCTTAACAAGAGGGTTCTTTCACTTGTCCAATGGAAAACCAGGCTGCTGCCTCTCTCTTAAAACAATCTCACCGATTTTGTTCTTCCTACACTGAATAATTTCTGCGACCGTGTGCAGAGTTGCCTCTGCATTGTGATGTTCGATATAGGCGGAGTTCTTCACATCATCCATGCTGAAAGAAAAAACAAACCCCAAACATTAAGTCGGTAAGCAATCAGTTAACAAGAGATGTAAGTATTTGCTACTTAATATGTATTGCATGATCATGAAGTAGTTAGTTAACACACTCAAAACTGCAATCTTCATCCTGTTGAAGGATTAAAGGTTGTATCATGTCATTTTTCCCCGAGGAAAACTTTTTTTCCTTTTATCACTGGTAACTTCCTAAACTTAACATACTTGAAAAAGCAGGGGGGGGGGGGGGGGGGGGAAATTTACAGGCAATAGCAGCTACCAAATATTGAGGGAGGGGGGGAGGGATTGAAGTTTTGCTTCGCTGCTGCTCTGAACCCAAAAGTTGTAGCTTCCATCGTGCATGCCTTGCAACTTCTCATACCTTGGAATTGGAGTAGGCCAACAAGGAACCCTAGGCTGGAACACCTGAAAGTGACAGATATCATACCACCCCCTCAATTTAGCGAAGAACTCTACCTCTTCACTTCTCAAATCGCAGCGCAACATTGCTTTATTATAGCCTAGAAACACCCGATTGAAGAAGACAATTTCCGGCTGATCTGGATGAAGAAAAGGTGTAAGACAAGCCAGAACTTCATAGTTACCACACTTTGATGACTTGTTCACCAACCCCTCACATTGTTTCCTCCAAGATTTCTGGTCTTCTTCCAGTCGCCAAATGGTCAAATGAACAGGTACCGTTTCATTTTCTATAGCAATTATGTGCAACGCACCTTGTGAACCGGAAATATACCATCGTGGCTTCACAAGGAATGCAGAAATGTCAATGGGCTTGGGAGGAATATCAGGGCGGAAAGGATTATACACAGCCACGAACATAGGAAACTCCCTTTTCCCTTTAATATACTGCCAAAACAACTCCCCATTGCAGGAAACTAAACTTCTTGATGTAATTCTTAATTGATCATCACAGACAAGAGCTTCCTTGGTCCATTCTCCAGACTCCGAACAAAACACGTCTAGCTTTGTGGCCGTGTTTGGTTCAGCAACTTGATACATACAAACCACCCGGAAGCGATACTCGGAATAAACAAATGTTTCGCCATCTCCTAGATCAAGCTTAGTGGACATACGGGGTTCACAAACTAACCTGGGCATCGGTGCATAATAATACACATCCTTCCTCGGCGCTAAAGGAAGAGCAATCCACTCCTTAGTAAATGGATTGCAGACCAAGTACGATCTGGCACTTTCGCTGTCACAAATGCTGAGATCTGCATCCCAAGACCCGCACAAAACCAAGTCCTTGTTGCAATCCAATACTCTAAAATCGTCTCGAACCGTACAAGGCATGGGGGGGAGAAAGCTCAAGATGATAGATTGCAGCTCGGAGGGATCGTCCGGAATAGGTGGGTGGTTCATGCTCTGGTGGTGAGAAACAAAGCGGCGGTTGAAGCGAGGACTGGAGATCAGGGAGACCCACTGCTTGCAGACGAGTTTACAACGACAGGCTGATCTAGGATTGGGGAGGCCAATAAGAATATCTTCTAGGAGATCCAATCCAAGTTTCTTCATCGTCATGGGAGGAAGATCTGCTTTTGAGCTGATTCGTGGTCGTTTTACGGCACGGCGACGGAGGTCGTTCAGCGGCCGATCCCAATCCGAGATGCAGTTTTCGATCGCCATGGCGTAGATTGAAGCAAGATGACGCCGGCGAGGGAGGAGGAAGGATTCGCTGGTAGGCTGCGGCTGGGATTACAACGGAGAAGCCCGGACCGGAAGAAATCTGCAACTCGTAGGTTTTCCTCTTCGACAAAGCCGGCTTTCATCGTAAGAAATACAAGGACCTGTCGTGTCAACCGAATCCGATACATAGCCGGACCAGGAAATACATCTCTGGAAGGAAAGGAAACAAGCACCTGGAATTGGAAAGCCCAATTCAACCATGACCAGCCCAACACGGGGGAACCCAAAACAGAACAAAGAACGCATGGAACACAACTAATAGACCTAGATTTGGTCCTATAAAAAAAAAAAAAATTGATTTGGGTGTAAAATATAACACCCAAATCGCACAAGCAAAACGAGGGTAAAATACATCGCGTGCGACTTAATTTTGAGAATTAGGGTAGACATACCACTTAAGTTTGAATAGGGCATCAGGTACCACTGAACTCTATTATTTGTGCACGCGGTACCACTTAAGTTTAATACTAAGTTCATTCCGTTAAAGTTGCAGAATATTTTTGGAATATGCCGACGACCGGGAGAGGCGGGAGACGCCGGGAAAGTTTCCGGCCACCAAAAAGTCTACCTCCCGCCGGCGGGAGAATTCCCAGAAACGGGCCGGAAAATCTCTCTCTCTCTCTCTCTCTCTCTCTCTCTCTCTCTCTCTCTCTCTCTCAGCAAAAAGGAGGAAATCCCCCACGTCCAAGTCCATTGGCGGCCCGCTCAAATGGGACGCCGCCTGCCGGAAATTCCGACCGGCGACAGGGGAACTCGGCTCTGCAAATTTCTTGGCGATGGAGGTGGGAGAACGTGGTAAAGAAATATAATAAATTATTTAATAATTAAAATTTTAAAAAGTCCTGCAATTATTACAATACCCTTCATTAAAGTAGATTAATATCAACCATCAGATTTAAATGAACTTGAAGGGCTGAGATTCACTTAGTCACATGACTAAGGGGACCTCCTTAGTCACCTGATCTTGGCCCAGAGGGAGAGAGTGGTGACGTTGGCCGGTTTGTGCTGTTTGTCAGTATAGTTTGTAATGTTTTTGAATCTTATTTGTAATGTTAATCAATTCAGTTTATAACGTTTATCGTTTTACTTTGTCAATATTTGTCTATCAGATTCGTAATGTTTATATCACTAATTTATAAAACATTGTAATTTTTAAAGTTTTTTTTTCCTAGTTTGTATACTTTATATTATGGTTTGTATTTATTCGTTTGTAATACAACCCCGGGTGCGCCTATGGTGCCTTGCAAGTCACCATAACTTGCAATTTTCGGTCAACCTATTACTAGCTGCGGTCGACCTAATACACTAAGAACAGAGACGTGGTCGACCGAAAATATCATTAGATCGACCTGAAACCAATTAGGTCGACCTATGCTCTTCCGTGGTCGCCTAACTAGCAGAATATTACTAATTGATGAACAAAGCCAGAAGTCATTAATTCAGGTTCTCGCAATTGTCAAACAGAGGTCGACCTGATTGAAAGAAGGTCGACCGCATGTTCTTGTGCACGCAAAGAAAAGATAAAATTAAACGGAGCAAAGTACAAAATAGAAAAGACGACGGCGATAGCTAAATTCGGTTGACCTCACCTTTCAAGTGGTCGACCTCTTGAAGCACGTACAGGAGTAACCGCAAATGATCTTCTTCTTCCCCAAAACTCTTACACTACAAGATGAAATCAAAGCAAATCAAGCTTCAAATTAAACGAAGGAACTAAAAGAAAGAGCAAGGAAAACATTGTTACCTATGATCGGTCGACCTAAACTTGTTAGTGTTCGAGCGTCTCTAATTCGAACAGGAAGAACAACAACAGACTTCTTCTTCACCAAAATTCTAACCGTAAAAATACCAATTTCGGAGTTTCAGTAACGTTGAAGGTGACATATATTCGTATTTATAGATACGGTTTGCACGCGGTCGACCATGTAATTGTCCAATACGGATATGGTTTGCACGCGGTCGACCACGTAATTGTCAGGTCGACTGTGTATACTATTTTTCTAAATAATTCTGACTTTGATGTTGATAAGGTAATGAAACAGAGGTCGACCTTTTCATTTACGAGGTCGACCTTTTGATAGCAAAATGGTCGACCTTTGAGATAATGGGGTCGACCTTTTATATTGTTCGTTTGCTAAACAGGTCGACCATTTGCTGTAAAGGGTCAACCGCGTCGTTGAGCTCACAAACCTGAAAGACCAGATTAGGTCGACTGCAATTAGTAATAGGTCGACCGAAAAGTACAAGTTATGGTGACTTGCAAGTTGCAAGTAGGGGTGAAAGCTTGTCTCGGAAGACCCACTGACCCGTCCCGTCCCTAAGGATCGGGACGGGTCAGTTTGTCTACAGGGACTGATTAGGGACGGGTCATTTGTTGACCTTGTAAGGGTCGGGACGGGTCGGGACAACTTAGGGACGGGTCACGTTTTGACCCTGTGACCCTTAGCAACAACAAATATCTCATACTTCATTGGACCTTTTTGTAAAGTTTAAAAAGTTTAGGTACTAATTTGTAAAAATAAAAAAATTGGGGGTACCAAAATGTAATTTTACCATCAAAATTTATGGACTTACTTGTAAAAAAATTAGGTACTAAATTGTAAGAAAAATAATTCTGGGTACCAAAACGTAATTTGTAAAAAAGTAGTGTGTTGAGTAGGGTCGACCCACTAACCCGTCCCGTCCCAACCCTTGAGGGTCAGACAGGGTCAAGAAGGAGACAGGGACGGGACGGTTATACATCTTAACCCTTCAAGGACGGGTCAGACAGGGACATGGACGGGACATGCAAATTTTCAGCTCTACTTGCAAGTCAACGTAGCAAAGTCCAATTTTTTATAATATGGTTTGTATACTTCGTAATATTTGTATACATTAATGACATAATTTTATAATTTGGTTTATATAGTTTGTTTTGTTGGTTTGTATACTTATCTTATCTTAGTTATATATTTTTTATTTTATTATATGGTTTGTATACTTTGTTGCATTGGCTTGTATTTTTTATGGGTAAATTGCAAGATTGGTCACTGAGACTACTAAAAAGATTCATGTTTAGTCACTAAAAATATTTAATTCCATTCGTGATCACTTAAATTAGTTAAACATTTCAAGTTTGGTCACTCTCCGTCCAACTCCGTTAACTTTTGCTGATGTGGCGGTCAACTCTCCTAGTTGACCGTTAAATATATGACGTGACAATTAAAAAAATAAATTTAAATTATTTAAAATTTCCACATCACTTCATGTCCAACTATTAAAAAATAAAAAAGAACTTAAAAGCTTATCATCAAAACCCCGTTGGGTTTATCCCTTCACCACCGTCGGTGGACTTCTCCCACTAGTTCACCGACCTCCGCCGCACAACCATCCCGAGCCTCGCCGGCTCCCCCTTCCTCACCAACATGATGGTCTCCCTGGGCGAAACCTTATTCCCGCTTCTCTCCGTGAAGGTCACTCTATTTCCGAGCTCCGGCGTCTGCATCTGTTTTGAGTTTCGGCATGTGGCGGCTGACGGATTTGCTTTCAACCATTTTGTGAAATCGTGGCCTTCGATTTCCAGATCCGGAGGCCAGGACCTGAGCTTGATCGAGAAATCCCCTACGTGCCACGAAAAAACGTTGATAGAGGAGAATAGAGAGCTAGAGGATTCGCTTCTGGAAACCATAGGAAGCCATCCGTCGCATTGGGATGAGGATTCTCGCCGGCGTATGCTTGCAAGCAAGTTCCGCGCAACGTTTTGGATTGACGACGAGCATATTTGCAGGATGAAAGCTTCTTTGGCCAACCGCGATGGATGGCAGCTAACAGTCGGCTTGGGGATCAACCGGGTTCTTGGTCTTTCAGTTAGTTGGAAACTTTTCAATTTTGTTAAACCTGTTGTGTCTCTATAACCACTTGCAAGGATATGAAATTGTTCACGAAAGTTTCGGACGTCGTCTCGTGGCTATGGGTCTTGCTAGCTTTTGGCTAAGATTGTGTGTTCACTAGCATGTCGGTGGTTTAGAGAGATTGTTTCGATATGCATTTCCATCAGAGCTTTTCATCAGAGATTGTTAACAAAGAAGTGGCAATAGTAGGGGGATACATTGAGATAGGGAAATAGTTTCATCAAAGCTTTTTATAGGTAGACAGAAACAAGTAGCAAAAGCAGGTGAAACCAAAGATGATGAAATATGTTTCTCATCATCATCAAGGTATGATCTTCATCTCCCTTAGCCCACTAAGCCAGTAAGAAATATCTCTCCGTGGTTGCTTCTCAAATCTATTGCTTTGTCAACAGCCTGGAATCAGACATATCGCAGAAGTGTTCACATGTGTATCTGCTCCCGGGAACCTGAATGGTAACCCACTGTACCGGCAAATTGTGGCGTAAACCCACAGGAAGACCATCATGTTGGTGAGGGAGAGGGAGCCGGCAAGGCTCGGGATGGTTGTTCGGCGGAAGTTGTGGGTTAACAACCGGAGGCCGGCGAACTCGTGGGAGTAGAAGTCCGACGGCGATGGTGAAGGGATAAATCCGGCGGAGCTCTGATCATGAGCTTTTAAGTTTATTTTTATTTTTTAATAGTTGGAACTGATGTGGAAAATTTAAATAATTTAAATTTATTTTTTTAATTGTCACATCATACATTTAACGGTCAACTATGAGAGTTGACCGCCACATCAGCAACAGTTAATGGAGTTGGACGGAGAGTGACCAAACTTGAAATGTTTAACTAATTTAAGTGACCACGAATGGAATTAAATATTTTTAGTGACTAAACATGAATCTTTTTAGCAATCTCAGTGACCAACCTTGCAATTTACCCTATTTTTTATGGTAAGTTCGTATATTTATATAAGGGGGTTGCTATTCATCGCCCTAAAAATTCTTATTTGTTGCCCTAATTATGATAAATTTACTCTAATACCCTTTTTTAATATTTCAAATACTTAAATCCTAAATTAAACACATAACGGACTTAACATCTGAATTGGGTTTTATTATGGCAACAATTATAAAGAATAATAACAAATAAACATATATTATGAAATTTTGCTTCATGTTTCACCAATCAATGTTCCACCATTATTACCAAATGAAGGAAATGAACGTCTACTGGGATTACTGGGGAAAAAGAGGAAATAGCAGTGGGTTAGCTTGCTGGGGGAAACAGGCGGGTCGGCGGGTTGGGGAAAGGCAGCGGCGGAATGAGTTTTATTTATTTGCTTGGACCTTCTTCCTCCTGTTTCTTATTTCTCCTTCCTCAACACCAGCAGCGAGTCGGTGGTTGGGGGAATCGCAGCAGGTCGGTGGGTTGGGGGATGGGAATTGGGAACGATGGTGGGTTTGGGGAACGACAGCGGCGGTCGGAAATCGGCAGATGGGCTGGACGTAGATTAGGAAATAGGAACTAGGGGTATAAATGTCGATTCAATATGGTTTAGGGCGATTTTTTAAAAAATTTAGGGCGACGAATAGCAATTCAGTTATATAATCGAGTTTGTATGTTTTCTGTTGATTTGTCTACCATCTGTTATTAGTTTGTACATTTCATATTTTGATTTGTACAATTTTATTATCTTATTTGTATATCATTTATTATTAGCTCGTAGACTTTTATTTTATAGTTTGTATACTTTGTATTTATAGTGTATGCTTTTCTTTTGTTCTTTGTATACTATGGGAGGGTACTTTATAATATTTTTCTATTAAAAATTATAAATACGGTATGCAAAAAAAATGATGGCTGGTAAAAAAAAGAAGCAAAAGGGGACGGTGGTCGGTGGGTTCTTTATAATATTTATAATTTTATTATATGGTTTGTATAGTTTTTTTTGTGAATGAGTTTGATGCATTGGTTTGTATATTTTTTATTGTTGATTTGTATAATTTTATAATTGGGTTTGTATAATTCTTGTTGATTCATCTGTTAATTGTTATTAGTTTATATATTTTCATATTTTGGTTTGTATACAATCTATTATTTGTTTGTACACTTTTATTATCTGATTTGTATAGTTTGTCTTATTTGTTCATATGTTTTTATTATATAATTGTACATTGTAATATTAATTTATATATTTTTATTATATGATTTGTATACCATTTATTATTCGTGAGTACAATTTTATTTTATGGTTTGTATGCTTTGTTTTTATAGTTTGTATACTTTCCTATTATACTTTGTATGCTTTGGGACTATGATGGCAATAGGTCGGGGTGGGTTTTATCCATAAAAAAATTTCATGTTAAAACTCAATGTTTTGGATTTTCAAACTCAACCCAACCCGCTGGGTATCCGCGAGTTCTTGGATTCCCATGGGTTCTGTGGTAAAAAAAATGCACAATAATAAGTTTTTGTCAAAATAAAAGTCTAAAATCAATCTGCCTATACAAATTATCGATACTAAAAACACCAATCTAGAACATACAAGCAAACCATAAATAATTCATACAAATTGTTCAACATTAAAGATAAACATCAATAACAACATGATTAATTTAAAGTTTCTTTCTCATTAAGAACTTGAACATTGTCATCTTAGTTTCACTCTCCAAAACAAAAAAAGTAGTAGTGGATAACAATTGAAAATTTCGAGCCATCTACTCATTTACCAACCACAGTATTCCAAATTTTGTTACCTTGCCAGTGCGTTCTTCGATAACACGCACGGCAAGAATGAAAAATCTTATCTTCCAAATGCAACCAAAACACAATCACATTGCCACTCCTTACATGCTTGTTAATATATTGTTATTATGGAGATGTGTAATGGCATAAGGATATAATAAGTAAGCCTCCTCTTTCATGTTCGTATCTTTAGCGAGGAGCCTAGGACTAATTGAATTGGTCGATTCTCTAAACAAGAATATGCTTATATGGATGAGGGCATCCATACTAAAGAAATCTTCTTTTGCCATTGAAATAACTTTATGTCATGGAAAAATTGATCATATGAGTGTGTGCGAGTATCCATGAATTGGATAATATCTAAACCCAAACCCAACCTAAACCTAATGAATAATATAACAGATTGAAACTCGAAACCTGTCAACATTATCCTTAATCAACAGATCCACCCTCGTATCCTAGGAGTCTCTATTTGGCATATGTTTGAATTGCTGTCTTGATTACTTCTTGTGATAAGATGTGACATCTACTGCCACCTGAGAAAGAAGAGCAACACACCACCAAAAATCAAAATATGGTTCTTTTGTTTGTTTCTACATTGTTTAATGAATACTTATCAGCCAGCCTGCCTACATGTACCTTTTCAACTGAAACAAAAGTTTTCTCGCAAGCAACACGCTTGTTTTGCATACTAGTTACCTGGACTTTTTCCAGAAATACAACTGTTTAAAAAAAATTACAAAACAAGCGTGTGGCTTGCGAAAAAACTTGTGTTTCACTTGAAAAGGTACATGTAGGCAGGCTGACTTATAAGTATTCATTAAACAATGTAAAAACAAAGAAAATAACAAATTACAAAAATACCATTCAACCCCAAAAAATTCTAAAAATACCATCCTTTCCAAAAAATTGCACCCGGGGGCGCGATTTTCATTGAAAACCGCTTGGGGTGGGGGCGATTTTCATGACCGCCTGTGGTCGCACCGGTTTGGTCCAAAACTGCTGCTCCCCCTGCGGCTTGGTCCAATTTTTTTTCTTTTTTCAATCAACTCTTAACCTCTGTCGAAACTTTAAACGAACGTAACTTTGTGCTCGGGTATCCGATCGTAGCAATTTTTTTTATTCCGCATAAATTTTTGAGATCTCTCAAGATGTAAACAGTTATAGGCGGTTTGGTCCCGCCTTTGTCCCAAAAACGTCGTTTGCTATCCTGAACAGGCTTTTTTCGATTTTGCCATACTTTGACCGTCCATAACTTTGTGCTCTGGAATCCGAACGTCATGAATTTTTTTTATTATGCATAAATTTTCAAGGAATACAACTTTTACTAGGAAGAAATTTTCAAAACTGGAATTATTTTTGGATCTACGGGGTTTTGGGAATAACTTTACATTCCCTTTTCTCAAATCCACATACATTCCGAATTATGTCTATGATAAAAGTTGCAGTACTTGAAAGGTTATGCGGAATCAAAAAAAAAAAATCACGACGTTTGGATTTTGGAGCACAAAGTTATGGTCGTCCAAAGTTATTGATGATTTTTAGCGTTCAAGGAGAAACTTTGTCAATATGAACTTGTGTAAAAGTGTTTCAACAAAAGAGTTGTATGGTGGTGTAGAGGTTGTGTTGAATTTAGTTAATTGTTTATTATCTGGGTTTGAACCACCACAATATGCTTCTTCTTTTTTATCTCTACTAAATAAAAAAATTAATATGTGATGATGGTGTTTTGAACCTAGGACTTCTTGAACACAATGAAGCAACTAATCGAATTGTGCCAGGACCAACTATGGGCTTTACGGGAAAAAAAATATATAGCAAACCGCAGGGGGGAGCAGAGGTTTTGGACCAAACTGGTCCGACCGCAAGCGGTCATGAAAACCGCGCGATTTTTGGGTAAACCGCTGGGTGGGGTGGCAGTTTTTGGAAAATGGTGATATTTTTGGAATTTTTTGGGGTTGGGTGGTATTTTTGGAAGTTTTTTTTTAAACAGTGTATTTCTGGAAAAAATCTCAGTTACCTGCAAGTGGACCTGGTAAATTACAACCCGACCCGAACCCAATAACCCGTGATTTTTTTGGGTTGAGTTGGGTGGGTTAGCTGGTCAACCCGTTAGACCCGTTCAATTTTATTTATCACTATCAAAATGATAAACACACATAAATTGGTGAGATGTTTCAAAAACTTCACAGGTATTTGAATGACATGTTTGGAGTTTAAGTATAATCAAATATCATGTGTTTCTTGTAGTAGTATTACTCTTGTGATTGTTTTTTTATGATTTCCCCAATTTGTATTTCATTTCATTAGCATGGAGGGATTTGAGAATATGTTAATTGACATGTGTTAAGTAAACTATTGTCATGCATGTGTGAAAATTTGTGTTCTATAAGAAAATATGAAGCATGTTTGATATTGTTTATGAGAGCGCTCATAACCCGAAATGACCTATAACCCGACCCAAAACCGAATGAGTTGGGTCAATATTTAACCCGAAATTAGACAACTCAACATGACCCGACCTGTAACCGAAGGCAACAACCCGAAATTATCCAACTCAACCCGATTGCTAGGTCTACCTGCAAGAAAACTATTATGCACTCCTAAAAACTATTAGTTACCTGAAGACATGAGTCATTGGTTGGAGACACCCGAAAAACGGATTTCAGTTAAAATTTAGGAGGTGACCGGTCCACTCCATTCCTAACAGTTTCTGGAGCCTCTAAGCAGTTATTGGAGAAGGAAATCGGAGCTGCTAAAGCATATCATGTCAACAAAAGACAAATTTTCTATATCACTCAGAAAGATTAAGCCAAGGTTGTCATTTTACACAGACACTCCAACTTTCTACTGGGTTTCTCGGCTGCTACCCTCTTCACCTAGGTAACTATTTCAACCACATTGGTGACTAGAAAAGATGACATTCCCAAATCCTATCAAGCTGGTAGACATTTGACAGTACAACTCTCAATCGTCATCTGATGCCCCTTCCTGCTGCGACTCCTCAAATGCTTTCTTCAACACCTGCTCCCATCCACTCCCCGGGCCAACCTCCAAAAATTCTCGTGGAACAGCAGTTTTCAAACCAGGCCGAATCCCACACCGACTCTCCACAACCCTCAACTCCACATCCTCCTCCTTATCCCCATTCAGTCCTTCCAATTCCTCCCATGTAAACAGCAGAGGCAGTGTAAACTCCGCCCATGGGTTAAAATCCAAAATCTTAACCCGCCCATCGTTTGTCACATACACATCAAGCGTGTAATCATCCGACTCAAACTTCATCCTCACCCGGTCTTCGAAGAACTCCACAATCAGATCCTGAATCACGCCCCTCTCTGCCAGAATCAAAGGATAGCATGTTGTGACCTCACGCTGCGAGATCCCCACCAGCCGCTGACCACGTACAAAGCACCGGAATTCCCTCTCTGGCAAAATCGAAGAGTACCATTTCCGGAGAGCAATGTAGAAACTCAAGGGCCCAGTCAATTCTTTTCTGTCACAGCACGAATCATAGGCGTGGCTTAGATCGTGGACCAAGGAATCGGACGACTTGAGTAAGAGTGCTATCTCGCTGAATGAAGTACAGCGAAGGTTTCTCGACGAGCTTATCCAAGCTGCATCCTTGGGTGAACTCCAGTTCAGCTTGGGAAGAACTGCACCTCCGAGTGCTTCAATCGAATTCTTGATCTGGAGTTCCAGGTCTGGGAAACAAGGTGGGGGCGATGATGCAGATTGATCTGATTCTTCATCGTTGTCGGAGGATTCTTCTCTTAGTTGATAGTCTAGTTCGTCGATGGGGTTGTGGACTCTGTTTGGCAGAGCGTCTTCGTTTGATATGGATAGAGGAAGTTGCAAGGTTCCTGAGTCCAGCAGGTACTCAATGAAAGATTGTGGGAGTTGGTGAATGATGGTTGGAATGGAGACTGACTTGAACTTTGGGTACCACTCCTGTATCTGGCATCGATCCACTTCTATGACCTTCATTGTTGCCCTGAAGACTCGACTGCTGTAGTAATTCCTCAATAAGCCTGTTTCCCACTTGCACAAAGAAAGGAAAGGGGATATATGAGTGTCTGTCATCTCTAGTATATATACACAACTAGATGTACACAAGGCAGTTGGTCAAACCAAGTTCACTAGAAACATCCAAGACAAGAGCAACCAGCAACAGAATCATGCTATTCTTAGATGCACTCATAGCAGTCTAAAACGGAATTAACACAAGTTTATTTCACATCTAGGTTGAACCCCAAACAATTGAACAAATAGCCAAATGGGGTCCACCGAAGCCTGAAGTAGTAAGCTATTGATCCAGCAGTTTGGGAACCCCTTCCCCTTTTTGGACGGAACAGGAAAGCAGCAAGTCAGACATTCGAAATTATAGCGCAATAAACACCAAGCAACGAAGAATTACAATGTCTAGCATTTGCACCAAACTATATGGGAGCATTCAGTTGCACTGCATCCAGCTTTCGAAGTATATGCAAACAAATCACCTAAAAGTAAAGAAAACCAACATAACCAAAGAACAATCATAAAGGAGGTCAGCCATTCTCAGATGTCACCACCAGTGGAGTTACTACAATGAAAGTCGCTGAGTTTAGGCCTTGAATCATCCAAAAACACATTAAGAAGCAGCGTCAACATACGTTACGATCTATTGTTCAAACATTCTCAAAGGAATACCTACCTGAATAACTATACAAGTATCACATGCATGGGAAAACAAAATGACAGGTGTCCATGGGTTGCTGTAGAGTTCCTAAATTACAGCAATTAAGAAAACACTGCCGGAAACTATGAATTCTGATACTTATGGTGGAGGAAGAACAACCATACCAGTCGCGGAGAAGTTGCAATGCATTACAGCTCGGAAAGTATAAGTGTCAGAAATGCAAGAACTAGTGCTTAAATTCTGGAATATTCTGGAATTCGAGGGACGAAGAACCACCTCTCAGCTATCTTAATTCTTATATAGAGATAGGGTATCTTACAAGCATAAGAAAAGGTCTTCATTTTCAGGGAGAACCAAATAATGCGTATCCCTAGCTCTACAAGGACACCAAGTAATTCTACTTGTTCAATGCATTGTTGAATTCGCAGAGAGAAGGAAACTCTTAGAGAGGTCACTCCATAAGACTACACCATGGGAAAATGAAGCTATGATTCTAGGTATTAGTAGTCGGAGAACTAGACAAAATGGACAGCACAATCCACAACATCAATTTTTAATCTAACAAGTACATATTCGACCAAAAACAAAAAGAAACCCTAGCCCTAAAAATCAAATACACAACCTTTTACCAAAATCAGAAAATTAACATCGTGAAACACCAAGAACACAATCTCACATACATACACTGCCCTTTCAGAATGAGGCCCCGCGAAAAAAGCAAAACGGAAGAGTTGAGGGAATCAAACCTGGCCCTCTTTGACTATGAGATTGATGTGAGCAGCCTAATCTGTTATTGGCTTCTTGTCTTTCTCCTCGCTTCTTCCCTCCCCTCTGCTGCAATGATCCGCAGTTCGCTTCCGATTCTCCGACGAAAGAAAGAAAGAAACACTGCTGACCAGCTCTTCTTCTCTGCTAGAACTCCTCAGTCTTTGAAGACGGAGGCGGGAATCCGAATAAGGGACGGCAAACAGTATTATAGGGTTTTCGGGTTAGTTACTAGAAAAGAAGACGGAAATTGTTTGGCCGAATTTCCTCTGAGATTTGGTTTGGGCTTGTCTTTGTTGGAGACTTTCTGGTTGGGCTTTTGTTGCATATCTCTTCCGGCCTGGGCTTATCCTCGGAACCGATTTTTCTTACTTGTCTTCGTCCATTTTGAAAACATGGTATGGTTTCCAATTTCCATAATGAAAAGATGACATATTTAATTTAACTTGAGCTCATTTAATTGTGATTTTGTGGTTGGAAAGCTGGTTAGAAGTGCATTTGGCTAGGTTGACAAATTGATCAGCCGATAACTCCGACATAAAATTGTTCGGGTAACATCTCGCGAATTACGTAACAAATTTTACCGAGCTAATTCGTTTAGTTATTCGATATCATTTAGTTATTTGTTTTATATGTTTTAGTTGGAAGAAACACTTGGATTTTCGAAAATAATCGAAGTCAAATTATAAAGTTTTACTTTAATTACTCCTTCACTTGTTTTGTTGTTTTTCTAGCTTCTTGTTGCCCTGCTCTTACTTGCTCCTCAAGTTAAGATAGGTTTCCTAACTCGATTTTTTTTTCTGTCTTGTAAACTTGTACTTATTGGAATCTACACGTACTAGTGAAAAGGCCTTGACCTAGTGTGACTTGTACACTTTTGAGACTAGTGCATCTTGTTTGCTTGCTCTTTCTACACTACTCAACTCAATTTGTGACAACAAATCAAGTTTATATCCTATTGAAGTTGCTTGCGTTTAATCTAGGAGAGAGAGAGGATTTTCGATAGAGAGTACTCTCTATAAGATTTATGTCAAGCTCCTCTTGCAAGGAAGAGTATGTTCTTTGACCTGCTTTAAGTGTGCTCAAAGATTATTAGTAGCGATGGAATTGTCTCGAGTTACGATATCACCGATAGTATGATATCTCTAACCATGTACTAGTTAATCACATAGACAAGTGTTACGAAATGTGAAGATTCGAGTGATTTAGGCTTTTTCATACTAGTTTTCCCATCAAGTTCGTAAAACCAAACAACGCCATAAAGCTAGACGTGTTCTGTTACTGAGTTCTGGAGAATGGACCAAGGATGCTCTCGTCTGTGATCGTCACGCTAGAATCGAAGCGAAAAAGTTTAGTTTCCTGCAACGGGGAGTTGTTCTGGAAGTATCTCAGACGAAGCGTACGACTACGGGTGGCCTACCAGGAGATCGCTGGCCGTGTTCAATCCTTTCCGCCTCGATGTGCCTCCCACGTCCGTCGATACTTTCTGCATTCCTTGCGAAACCAAAGTGGTCTATTTCCCTCTCACAAGTCATACAAGTGCTGTAACTATGAAGTTCATGGCTGTTATCTACCTTTTCTGCATCCAGATCAGCCAGAGATCGTCTTCTTCATTCCGGTTCCTCGTGTTAGTATGAGTGCTTTGTTGCGTTGCGATTTGAGAAGGGAAGAGCTAGAGTTTCTTCTCTAAACTAGAAGGGGGGCATGATGTCTGTCACCTTCAGGTGTTCCAGCCTAGGGTTTCTTGTTGGTTTGCTCCAATTCCAAGGCATGAGGAGTTGGCGAGGCAAGTACAATGGAAGCTAAAGCTTTTGGGTTCAGAGCTGGTGCGAAGCGAAAACTCCCTCCCTCCCTCGACGGATCTATAAGTCAGCACTCAGAGAACTCAGATGCGATAATTCAAGTATGCGATCTGACTGCTAATGCACAACAATAAAAACATCATGGTCGTGGCTGGCAGCAAACATCATTTTTAGCACAACACTTGACAAGGAAGACCAAAAAAGTTGGCAGCAGACCGAATTTTTTGATAATCAAATAACCAAAAACCTTTCTGGATAAACCAATGGTCTATCCATACAGTCACAGAAACACCTCACACTCAGAAAACAAGATCCTGCAGACAAACAGGGAAATAAACATATTCTGCATATCACCATTAAAAGAACTCTTCTGCATTACCGAGTTTCAACACTTCTGTTCATCCTCACTTTTCGCCCTTCTTGTCCGGTATGGATTCCAAAGGCAAACCAGACATTTGAGACTTGTTTTTGGGCAACGATAAAAACTTTACAGTATCTATCATTCAGATGCTGCAGCTGAATCTGTTGCAGCCAGCGGTTTGCCATTATCATGCTTGCTAAGTTGGCTGAAGTTGCCCTTCTCCTTGAAGAGCTGGGTGTGGTGGTGTCTGCAATAGAGGCGCTGCTCGTGGGCCACATAGTTTGAAGGACTGATTACACAGCCGCCATGGGTGCACCTGAAGCACGCCTTGTGATATGATGTGCCATCTACTGCCACCTGAGAAGAAGAAGAACAACATAACATCAAAAGGCCGAATATGTAGTCTTAAGCTTTGGTCCTTTTCGTGATTTCTACACTAGTGGACGTCTGTGTGTTAAGCCACGCATTACCTTTTCAAGCGGATAAACAGTTTTCTTGCAAGCGACACACTTGTCTTGTGTACCAGCAAACATACTTGAGATTTTGCTGCTGCTCTGTGTTCGTGAGAAGAAAGAAAGTAACTATCAGTTCCCTGAAGACAGAACTCATCGGTTTTGGAGACCGGAAACTTTACACCAATAAACCGGCTTTTGCTTAAAGTTTGGGAGGAATCAGATACCTGATGAGCAGAGCGTTCCACTCTAACAGTTTTTGGAGTCCCTAAACAGTCATTGGAGAAGGACATTAAGCCCATCTCAACTTTGAAATAGTATTAAGATTGAAAAGCAATAATGATCCGAACAATTAATACTACCTTCGAAGCTTTTATCCAAACTGCCAGTCATCTTGAATAGCTGATCGAAGTGTGGCTTGCAATACAAGACACCCTCAAAGGAGGAATAGTTACTCAGCTGCAGAACCAGACAAGAATATCATGTTTAAGAGGAAAATATTTCAGATGGAGACCTATATCACAGTGAAACTCAACAGAACGGAAGGACTTGATAGTCAAAAGAAGTAGCAGAAACAGCCGCCTCTATTATAAATTAAGCTAGATGTCTCTATTCATGAAGCATTGGCATAGACCTAAACAGATGTGTATACATGGACTAATTACCAGGCAAATGGTGACTACAAGAAACAGAGGATGCCCGAGACAAATTCAGGGCATCGACATATAGTCAAGATTTCGAATGATGCTTTATCTTGAACCAGAAGCCAAAGATGAAAGATGAAAGATGAAGGAGGAAGAACACAAACAAGTGATTTGGGTTTTATTCCTGACTAGACGTCATCTCCATCTAATACAGAGGTGAAAAGAAATACAAAAAACATTTAGAAGTTCATTACTTCCTCTCTTCTTTCCAGTTTCCTCACAGTTGTATGTATCAATTTCAGAATTTGAATGGGGAGTGATATTGCATATCATCATTGAATTTCTACCAATGAAGAAACTCTTAAGATCTTGTCCATCCCATCTCTTTTTTATCCTAATTTTGAATCTTGCATCCACCTAACTTCCCTTGGCCCTTAGGCTCCCCCACCCTCCAATCGCTTGTGGGAGTGGGACACAAGTGTTCCTATAACTATAACTATAACTATCATCGCCAACAAACTCAAAAATTGACAAAGATCTGCTAACTACCCACCATCTAATTCGTCAATTAAAACTCCAGGATCTACACAAACCAGATTCATCTGTCTCAATCACCTGACTCCAAAGATCGACATGATCAAGACCAATTAAAGTAGTCTTAAGGGAAAGGATACCTGTCCTCCTCTGCCTCTTCAACTTAATTTAGCATGAAAAGGAAAAACAGAGTTCTCAGAAAAGAAACAAAGAGCCGAAGCTGATCACTACTAGTAAACCAAAACCCCAGACAGCAAGATCCCAGCCAACAATCAACAACAGCAACTTGTACAGATAAAAAGCACACAACTTTAGCAAGGCAACTTAAAAGCTTCAAGTTTGCATCTTTTTTTTTTCCCCCCGAATGGGTTGAAGAATTGAAACAGAGTGGATTGAGGTACCTTGAGGGTGCCTTTGCAATGGTGGCAGCGGAAGCAAGCTTTGTGATAGACTTTATTGTCGGCGGCAAGCTGATCCACCAAGTACACCGTCTTCTCGCAAGCCTTACACTTCTCCGTCGTCCCTCCAAACGTCGCCATCCTCCTCAGCTCTGAATCTTCCCCCTTTCCTCTGAAATTATTGCAGAGGCTAAAAGGGTTTTCCAGAAAAAAGCACTGCCTGTGAGAGAGAGTGTGTGTGTGTGTGTCAGAATTTTACAGCTCACGAATGGGAAGCAAAAACTCGCTTAGCTACTTTTTTTTTTTTTTTTTGGGGTTGTCGGTAAAGACTTTTTTGGTTGGCGAGTGGAATGACTTGGAGGAAAAGGGTGGTGAAAAAGAAAGAAAAGAAAAATCCAAGCTGTCGGAATCGGATGTTGAACTTTACGGTGGCAACCCTCCATCGCCGGTAGCAATAATGAGAGGAGGGGCCATCTGTTTGTTTTTGAATTTTTCCTCCTAATGATGTTCTTTAGGTGCGCAGCAGTAGATAGAGATTGAAATCAAATTACAATTCAAACCAACCATACCTAACTGGTTTTCGAGCTGACCAGAGATACCCATAGAAAATACCAACCGGGTCCAACCACTTTCAGCAAGATCCCACAGAAAACTCATGGTAAACTGGATTATACCGGTTAAGACATTTGAAACGGGATTTTTGTTGGTTTAGCTTAGGTAACTTTCATGCATATCGGGTTTGACCATTGGTTATTGGTCTCGGTTTAGTGAGTAGATTGATGTTTTGCTTACGATTTCGAAGCATATAATTCTTTCTTTTAACATATTTCAATTCGACTAACTAGACCAAACCGATCGGGTTCTTCGTTATCACTTGTTTCACGATAAAGCTCGAGTCCACTGCACGACTTCAACATCAAGCGTTTCAATTCAGGTCGTGAAATCAACCTTTTAAGAAGTTATCGAATATAATTCGTCTCGCTAGACTTAGCAAACGACGGCCATTCCTACAAGGGAAGGGGTTCATTATACCCTGGCCAGAGCTAGGCAAGAATCCGCATGGTCTGTAGCCTTCTGAGACCTGGGAATTAAGAAAGTGATTCTGCAAACTGATTCCCTAACATCCCAATCATTTGAACATTGCGCAAAACTCGACCAATCAATTCAATGCGTCCCTTGACATAAACAAGAGAGCCAAACAACGTACAGAATCCCAGCCAACAAAAAAGGGATGCTCAAGTGTCTATCTCCATCTACCATGCCTGAAAATTTTTATTCCATTATCTGCTTATGAAGTATGAACCGCAACTATTGGCACCGAGTCTGAGAACATCACAACAGCCTACAAACAGGTTGTTCTGTTGCCAAATGAAAACCATAAAGACACTGATTCATGTGTTGGCTTCTGCACACAACCTTATGCACTCTCACCTGCCTGCTTCCTTGATTCTTCGCGCATCGTTGCTTTCACGTAAATCTCATAGCAGCACCCTATGGAAAAAAGGGTAAGACACAATTGAGAGCAGAGCAGGTAGAAACTGAATGCGAGGAATTTCCTAGTAGTTCAGTAACAGGTTTTCACAGATAACATGGCCATAGGTCATATCGTAGATACCAACGAAAGCGTAGAGACCCTCAGCCTGACAGAAAGGATGAATACTGCTCCATGGCTAGATGTATGTTAAGGTTATTCCCGAATGCTAGGATTCGCAGTCCTGTTCTGGGGTACATTACTTGGGTTGGTAAAATCTTGGCAACCAAGGTTATGAGAGGGCAACACTGATCACTATATGTACACTAAATTGCATGAAATATCCAATAAGGTTTCATCATTCAGGCAAATGGATGGTAGATCTCATGCACAGGTTTGCGGGCTCAGCGTCCCACTCAGAAACCACAAGTTCCTGGCCTAGTCAACAATGAACCGCAACATGCTCAAGACACTGTTAAAGGTTACTATCAGTTCATAATGATTCCATATACCAACTGTCAGCCCAAAGAATTAAGAAAAACGGGCAATGAATAGCAGCAGATAGACACAACCTTGGTTCAAACGTTTTCTCTTCACTTCAAGCACATACACTAGAATTACTTACCGACTACAACGACAACGGTGAGAAAATCTCCAATTTTGTTAATTTTCGAGACGCCTGACTTGTGTGATTTGAATCTACGAATAGCCGGGTCATCGGCCAAGAGCTGCATCATGATCAAGTCACCAAATTACTACAGAATCTCAAAATTCGGTGAACCAGAAACGAGAACCCATTCACAACATAACCAAGCAATGAAGGTTGCATATCACATGACCATCACCAACAAGAAAACCCAACATTCAACAGAATCCTAAACCACAATCTTAACCCAAAAATGCCCATCAAAAGGAAATCCTAGAACCCTAATTGGAGAAATCCACACGAAGAGAGGGGCAAGGGGAGAAAATCTTATCGAATAGACGGAGACAGGTAGAGGGAGAGGCAGGGCAGACTCACAGCTTTCTCTCGCTGGCCAAGCTCGATATGGAATCCACGGCGAGGGACTGAAAGCGCTTCCTTTGATCGAGAAGGTGGCCGGAAAGGAGATAGAAAAAGAGTAGGCGTGAGTGGTAGCTCGAATTCAGATTACGGAATCAGAACAAAAACAAACAAAAATGACAGATTGGCACCTGAGAACGCGACCGGAAGTGAGAAGAAAGCGAGGAGTTCTTCAGGAAAAAAGCCATCTCCGCCGGGGATGTTTCAGATCAGCAACAGAAGTTGGGAAATCGGAAAACTTGGCCGCTTCCTGCAGAGAGAAAAGCTTTCACAAAAGAGCAACTAGCCGTCAGAGCCGATACGGTTTGCAATCGAGGCAAAAACGTTTTGGACTTTTGCTGTTCAGGCCGTCAACTATTTTCATATTGCAATATCATCCCTTTCTATCTAACTCCTCAAGGGCTCAAGGCCCAGTACGCCACGTAGACGGTTCGACGTTAACCAGTGAGATGGGATTGCTGTTTATGTATGTAGGCCATGGAAAATTGGAAAGAACTAAGAAGTGATAGACAAAATCTGAAAATGCCCTAGTTAAGAAAAAAAAAATTCCCCACAATAGCACATTTTAATTCTCTCAAATACTCCAGTTTGGAGCAATTCGTTCTCGTGTCAAGTGAACTAGATAGTGGTTTGCTTGACACTGGAGTCAGGGGCGGACCCACGCATGTTTGGGAGTGTTACAGGACATCCCTAAATTTTAGAAAAACGATTATCCAACTCTCGATGGTAAATTACGTATGGTAAAAAAATTATAATTGATAGTCGGGGACACTCCAAAAATTTGAAAAAAATGATTATCCTACTCTCATCTTCTAGTTTAGGTATGGAAAATTGGAAATATAAGTGGTCGTTTGGGTAATTCAAACCTAGGACACTATTATTATTAGTAAACATTATTTCCATTAAGCTACAAGCCTACAACTCATTTGTTGTTCGATTTTAAACACGGTGTAATAGTAAAATGTCATTCACTATCGCTAATTATTTTCAAAACCTACAATTAAACAAATTTCAAACTACCCTTAATTTGTATTGATTTTATGGTTGTACGAACAAGTGTTGAAAGAGTCTTTTCAGATTTGGATTATATAAAAAACAAATTTAGAAATCGAATATGTGATCAGTTCGTAAATGATTGTCTATTAGGATACACAAAGACAATTTTTTTGAACAGTGTAGGCACCAAGTGTATTCTACAATTATTTTCGAATATGAAAACACATTGTGGGCTTTTTTTAAGTTGTACGAGTCAGGTATTTTCTTATTTAAGAATTATTTAATTTTTATTAATTATTTAATAGTTATTTTTATTTAATTTATTTTTTAAAAGGGACACTTCTACGTAAAATTCCTGGGTCCGCCACTGACTGGAGCGAACTACATCCGAAATGGCCGAAACGACCGAAAAAACCCAATATGAGGGTGGTTCGTGGCTGAGCCTAGCAAATCACTGCTAATCATAACTTCAAACCATCGTATCTTTGCACTTGGTTTTCTCCACAATACCACAATTTCACTACAAATTTTTCACTATATAGTACTTCCATAAATATTTTCCCAACTATAGGGTAGTTTGCTGGTGTAAAAAACGAACATATAGGATATATCGTTGAAGTCGAAAGGAATTTATATAAATCAGTAGTTAAAGAAACGATTTAACAAAGATCGCTAGTCTATGAACCACTTTACGACCGCTTTCCTCACAAGTCACAACTAGGAATGACAATGGGCAGGTCCGGGGCGGGAATCTCGATACCCATACCCGTCCCATGGCAGGTCAGGTCGAGGTCGGGTAATTGATTGCGGGCGCGGGTCGGGACAGGTCGATCCAATGGGTATGTAATTTAAGTAAAAAAATATTAGAAATATTTGTTATTTTCATTAAAAGACCAAGAAAGAAATCATAATATGATAAAATCTAGTTAAATTATTGAAGAAATTGAGGTTTTCACTTAATTACAACTTTATTATAGCTAAAATATAATGTAATAAGAGGAGAATCCTAAGTAATTTGACTAAGATTATATGTAATTTAGACAAGAACGGACCGAGAATGGGGCGGGTCAGGGCAGGTCAGGTTGATGAGAGATACTCATGCCCGCCCCGCCCCGCCTACAGGGAGGGTCTAACCCGCCCCAAAACAGGCCAAATAGGTAGAGTAAATCGAATCAGATCGAAATTGTCATCTCTAATCACAACCTATCCATGGTGGATCATTATTACGCACCACTTGCTCTTCTATTTGGATTATTGGTCACATCACTCGCATGGGGTAATTCCTATTTAATTTTGTGAACGGCCATAATAGCCGGTTGTAGCTATTTAATTTCCACTAACAATAATGCAAGTTGTTTAATGTATATATAAATTATAAATTTGTAATATCTACCTTAGTAAATTTTTCGTTATATATGGTCGTACGTATTTTATCTGTTTTAATACTTTCATATACAATTGTTCGGTAATGTTGTGGATGAGTTTCTTTTCTGAACCACATACGAGTTGGTTTTTTATATGTCATATTACATCCCGCACCGTTTTGATTATAAGAATGGTTATAATTTTAAATACGTGACTTGAATGTGATACATAGAAAAATCGATCTCAACCTAATTCGTTGCTATCCCTAGATGTAGCCTAATAATAATGAAGGAAAGAGAAGGTTGAAACAAAATATAGGGGTCGTTTGGTTTTAGTGATTGTTTGGTTGAGATAGTTACAATACATGTATTGTCCATAATACATCGTTTTTTTTTTGAATTTTCTGCACAAACAATACATGCATTGTTTGCTTGATGTGACACAAACTATCACTCAAAATGAGTGATAGTTAAATCTCAAGTTTTAGGCGAGATTGTTTGGTTGAGATTGTTGTGTGTTTTTTCCTTCCAACTTTGTCCCTACCTTTTTATGTGTCTTGCTTTTTTATATTACAACCAAAGAAAAAAAATGACATTTCACCCAAAAATTATTATAACTTATTTAAATAACACAATGACTATCACATAAACCAAACAATGCAAACTATAATACACCGATTTTCTTATATATACATATATATTATTATGCATACATTGATTTCAATTCATCTATTTAACTATCATCAAAATCAAACTGAATCCTTAGACGTTAATTGCGAAAGATTGAAGATGCAAAAGGATGAATACTCCGATACACACAAAAAGTGATGAATACGTAACAAAGCAAGCACAATGGATCATTGACCGAAATTCATCTGAATCATGGAAGGATCAATCAGTTCAATCTCCCGCCGCTCATCACCAGTACTACTGCCTGACCTCTCTTCTTTCTTCCTTACACAACAAATAACATAACAATCACAACCACCACCAAACTTCTTAGCCAAATCCCCATCTAACGTGAACTCGTGCATCACCCACCCGTTATTCTCACTCTCCCTACTACTCCCACCACCGCCGTCCTCCGCCGCCGCCGCCGCCGTCTTCACTTTGTACGAGAACGTCCGCTTCTTCCCGATGACGAGGCTCTCCTTGTCATCGGGATCGATGCGTATGTCGTAGTCCCTCTGCGACCTCCACACGCTCTGCCCGAAACTCCGCTCCACGCGCTGCCCCTTCTCCTCCTTCTTCTTCTTCTTGAGCCGGGTGAAGAAGTAGAGCCGCGACTCGCCGGTTATGTCGAACCAGTGCTTCCACTTCTCGTCGTCGTCGTAGAGGTCGCACTCGAAGACCGCGCCAGGTTTGAATCCACGTGGATCGCACGCTTTCGGCCACAGGTAGTCGGTGATGAGCTGGGTTTCGGTCGGGTCGAATCGGGTGCCCGGTGGGAACCGACCCGGGAAGATCATAGGTGAAATTAAGAGGTTATCGAGAAACGAGAAAGCACGCACGCACGAGAACCCAACGGAAAGTAATTAGCTATTATTAGCGTCTCGTTTATATATATTATTATGGGGTTTTCCCGATGTGATTTTGGTATTCCTTTTTGGTTTCTAATTCTGATTAATCATTTCTTGATCTTGGTTCTTGGTGAATGCTGAGGTGGCAGACCGAAATTGATTGATATTTTGTATAGGGACTGCTTTTGCGGTACGTGCAATTACGTTGCATGCATGCAGCTTTGCAAATCACTGGTTTGTGGTCGCGGGCCGAGCTCGCAAGTTCGCCCATCAGCCTTGTGGGCCTCGGTACGTGTAACCAAGACCTGGCAATTGTGACAGGTTGGGTTATTTCGGGTCGGGTGACAGATTATAGCGGGTGGGATAATTTTGAGTTAGTTTAAACTAGAGAGTGGAATTTTGACTCGACCTAATAAAACTTTTGTGTCTGGCCTCGGATAATTTTGGGTTACGAGGTGTTTTCATAAACGAAAAACGAACACACCAAATAGTTGGTTGGAAAAACAGAAGTTGTTAAAATATATTGGCAAAATACACTTGTGTAGCAAAAATTTTCACGTTTGTGCCACTTATAGCCTTTTTTGGCGAAATACCACTTATAGCCACTTTTTAAAAATGTTGCGTGCTAGATATAGCCATTTCCATTAGATACTTTAACGGTGTCACTAACGTTGTCAACTTCTTTGACGATTTGTTAACTAAGCGCCAACTCAGCGCACACGTCAATGCCAAATAAGTCGAAAGTGACACGTCACAATTAAAATTTATTTAATAATTACATGTTATATCAATAAAAATTTAATTTATTATTAAAATCAAACGAAGGAACTAAAATAAAAATAAATAAAAAACAAAAAGTAGGGAAGTCTTCGAGCAGTAGCAAAACAATCCCTAATCCAAAAATCACCTCTATTGTAACTATCGCCACCATCACCTTCTCCTCTCCCTCTTCTTTATCATTTTCTTCCCCCACCGCCGCTCCCCATACGACATAGGTGGAATCCCAGAATTGAGAAGGTCTTGTCGCTTCTCTTCCTCTTCTTTCCCCTTCTCTTCCTCTCTTTGCTTACACGCACACTGACTCCAGGTACGACGGCGGCTGCTCCAACACTTTGGACGGTGAGACCAGATCTCATCGTCGTGGAGTCTCTCTCCCCATAGATGACGTCGCCGCCTTGATCGATTCGGGAAGGGGATGAGGCGAAGCGGCAGAGAAGTGAGATAGATGGATTATTGGTGGGTTGGGGGATTGATAGAGGCTAGGGTTTTGATCTATTGGTATCCCGGAACCCCCGTCGTCGGGACGAGATCTAAAGTGCTATAGTAGGCTCCATTGGCAGGGATATTGAGGGAAGCAACGAGACCCAGAACCAGCAGTTACCCCTCATACTTTCTCTTCCTTTAATTGAGACCAGATTTGCGATCTGTCGATGACGTCGATGCGTGGATAGGCTGTAATCGGAGGGCGGTGGAAAGGTCTGGCGGAGAGGATTTTGGAGGCGGCTGCATGCGGAGAGGGTTTGAGAGTTGCTGGAGCCGGAGAGTGTTTCGGAGAAAGGGGGATTTGGGCGGCGGTGGATTCTCTTCGTCTTCCCAAAATCCTAACCTCATCTCCTCCTTCTCCGAACGAGCCCTATTGGGTAACACCCTCATCTAGAGAGAGAAGCGGAGAATAATTTTGGTCGGAGTTGGACGGATCCGACGACATGCTTTGAAGGCGAAGAGATGAGTGGTGGGAAGAGATAAGACAGAGCAGTTGGGAGTGTACAAATGAGGGCTTTTAAATTTTAATATATTTTTTTCATTTCATAAATCCACGTGTATATTTACAAACAAAATTGAAGGTAAGACTTTGCCACGTCAGCATCTCCGTTTGCCCAGTCACACTTAACGTTAACAGCGTTAAAGAATTGGACGAAAATGGCTATAAGTGGCACAAACGTGAAAGTTTTGGCTACACAAGTGTATTTTGCCAAATATATTTGTGATGCTATTTTATCAAATGCATTTCAATGAACAAATTTTCAAGTTCTTGTAGTTAAATAAAAAGAAATGTAAATAACATACAAAGAAACACCACTTAGTATTGACAAATTCCAAGCAAAAAAACATGATATCTAATTCAACCATTCATGGATATACCAAAATAGAAATATAAACCTGTGATATTTTGGTTAATTATATTGTTCCTTTTACTATTATTAGACCATCCACAATGGTTGGGTGGGAAGGGTGGGAAAAATGAGTTTTTGGGGTTTGGCGTTGGGAAAACCCACAATGGGTTGGGAGCATGGTAAAAGAAATCGTACCGAACATCATATCGGATTTCTTTCTGGTAGGATATTTTGTGGTACCACCTTGGTTCAACCATTTCGTACCGGTAAATACCATTTTTGTAATAATAAAATATATTTTTGTCAAAAAATGGTGTCGCAAAATCAGGATACCGTCTCGGAGTAATACCGGATGTATCGGAATATACCGGATAATAAATGAATAAATACAAGTAGTTAGCAAATTAATTGAAGAAAGAATAAATTTTAAACAATGATTATTTTTATAAAAAACTTTCCCATCGTTACTAATCCTCCCCGTGCACCCTTTCCCCATCTACCATCTTCCGTTCTTCCTCTCTCTCTCCCTCTCTCTCTCACACACACATATCCTCACCAAACAACATCCGATCCAAACTCAATCTCACCCCACCCCCGCGCTCAAAGCCAAATTAATGGCAGTGCCTAATTGATCTCTCCAATCGTGGCCTCGTGGGTCTCCAGTCGCCACTCTCCACTCGCCAGAGGAGAAGAGAAGAGGATCAGCGGCGTGGCGGAGTGGCGGCACGGCGACGCGGCGACACGACTTTGCATGGACCGGCTAGACCTTTCGCCGGTCTCCACGTTGATCTCTTCGGTCGCGGGTCGTCAGTCGCCACTCACCAGAGGAGAAGAGAAGAGGAGGGGCGGGCCGGGGCGGGGCAGAGTCGAGCAGAGCTGGGGAAGAAAGAAACGATGAAAACCTACTGCGATGCACTCGTTTGATTAGAGCTAGGGTTTTGATTTGGGGCGTTCATTGTTTGGACGCGATTCTTTTATATTCAGAACGATAACATTTTTTATTGGATATAGGATACCGCCGGTTAGAACAAAACCGAGTGGTTTCTCGCTTTGTGCCGGTTAACCCGGAAAACCGGCCGACACGGTGAAAAGCCCCCTAACAGCCTATCTTTTTGTTTTTTGTCTGGTTCCCGGTTGAACCGACCGGTACGATCCGGTTCCTGATCCATGGTTGGGAGGGAAAGTGTGAGGAGTGCTTTTGATAAAAATTAGTTTAGTATTTTGATTTTGTCACTTTACTTAAATAATTGGTCAATTTTTTTACATAGTAATAATTAATTAAGACGAACATTGTGATATAATATTTTTTTAATTTGGACATAATTTTTTCATCATTAATTAAATATGATGCCATCAATGACGAAACAATAATAATTTTTCTGAAGACCATAACTTAAATATGAAGTCATTAATTAAAAAAGGCTACTGAAAAATATAATTGTTGAAAAATATGAAGTTGAGATTTAATTCTGATCGTTAGATGCCATCTACGGTATAGAAAATACAAAAACTCAAAAAAAAAAAAACAGAAAAAAGGAGTGGACCTCACCACCCCCTCATTCCCGCAAAAGTTAAATTGCTCACAGTATAAACTGTGAGTAGATACTCACAGACACATATATCCGCCGAGGAGAGAGGAGGGGGGCCGTTTCCTTTTTTTGGGCGAGCCGAACTTTTGGGCGGCCCGAATTTTAGGGCGGGAGGTGGGCAGTGTTTTGGGCGGGAAGTTGAAAAAGGAAGGAAGATTTTGGGGTGGTGGCTTGCAGCCTAGTAAGGGCCGCCCCCCGAGGGCCCATGGGCCGAAGGCACATAAAACTAATTTTCGGCCCATTTTGCTTTGCTGAAGCAATTTTGGGCGGGATTTTGCTGAAGAAGGAATGGGGAAAGTTGGATATTTGTTGAACATAAAGGGAAGGTGGCATTAAATAATCTCAACCACCACTTTCACTCTCTAACCCCTCTCTCTCTCTCTCCTTTTTTCCTTTAATTTTCTGCTCAACCACCTCCTTTCCGGCGAGCATCAGTTCCGGCGATCCTCTCCTTGCTGGCGAGCAGATCATCTGGAGAAAGGATGATTTTCGACGACGACGGCGAGTTGGACGGTGTGGTTGCCTTCATTGTAGAAGAAGAAGAACTCGATCCTACAATAGATGAATTTGTTGATGAAGACTCAGATGGTGTGGGTGACTTCATTGTAGAAGAAGAAGAAGAAAGTGAAGGTGGATTCTATTATATACTAGCTTATAACCCGGCCCGTTGGCCGGAATATTTATATTTGATTTTTTATATTTTATATGTTATGTTAAAGTCTATCAACCTGTTTAATTTTATTGACAATCTTTCGATCGAGATGATACATAAAAAAAGAATATATAGGTCGAACATTCAGAGAAATATCATCATCATTTGAGAATATAAAATATAAAATTGTATCATTGATTTTCATAATGATAATTAAGCCCAGTTAAAATGTTATTAGTTAGTTGATTGTTCAGAAAGATAGAATATAAAAGCTCATTGGAATTCACACACGATCCATAGATAGTTTGAAACTGAATCTAAAATCTCACAATCCTACATAAATGGTTCAATGCTCTCATTTTGCGGGCAATATGCCACTAATCAAAAAGAAATTGAGAGTTATAGGTTTAAATCAACTATATACTAACAACTCAGCTAAGAGGGGACCATCAAAACTTAAAAGAAATTGAAAGTTATAGGTTTAAGCACAAAATTAAATTTATATTGAGAAATGCAAGGACACAACGCTTAGCAAAGAAAATAGTTTCGTCCATGTTAGCCAATTACCAATTTACCTTTAGCGAAAATTAAGGAGAGAGCATGAATTTTAAAATGGATAATATTACCTGAAACTCTACTATGAAAATTGAAGTAT